GGGGGGGGGGGGGGGGGGGGAGAGGGGTGGAGGGGGCGGCTCGTAGGAGGATCTTCGCCCGAAGGCCATTACAAGGATTTCTTTTATTTACGGTCGCGAAAGGAGCTCTTGCGCCGAGCGGGCTAAGTGGTATGATCTCCTCTCCTCGGGCTTTACTCCCGCGATAGATCTTGGCCAATGACCGACTAAGCGTCCACTCTCCGGGGCTTAATTCCTGCGTCCAATCGTGTAACGTTCGGCTGTAGATCAATTAAGACGTCGTCGCTGAGTCCGTGCGAAATCGCGGTGTATCATAACCACGATTTCTGGCGAGATACACGAGCTTTTGTCAAGGATTCTATCGTTGTCGTGCAATTTTTTTCCAGATTTTTTTTCCAGATACACGGAATTCTCTTATACGAATCTTCTCGTTCTAATTAAACTTCATCACGAAGTAGTTCACAAAGTTTAAATTTTTTGTCGATACTTTTCAAGAGACATATTTTTTTTTTATTTTTCTGAGGTAGAAAAATTGAAACATTTCCGGAATGAAAAATTTACTATTTTATACAGATTGCAATTTATTTCAAATAATAGTATGTTGACGTAATGTTTTGAATAACTTTATTACGCGATTAATGTGCAATCAACCTCGTCCGGATATTACATATATATTTATGCCACGAGGCGCTTTATTTCTCACAGAGCAAAAGGGAACGCTTCGAGTTTCGATATTATTCTTTCTCCACACGCATCGTCGCATCATCGGGATTGGCGCCGATAAATTAACAGGATTAATTATTTGCGACTCATCGGATTACTTGCAGCGGAGAGAATACGGCCTATCTCGGGGTGATTTTCCCTCTACGGCTCATTACTTTCAATCGTTGGCCTTTGGTTCGCTCGTCCTTTTCTTCGCCACTCGTAATTTTTAGTACAGCCGCGTGAGTGGGGGAGGGATTAAAGAATAAGATGAGGGGAAACTGAAGTTCGTTTATACGACCTCATCAGCCGCCCTCGCGAAGAAAAAGAGAGAGAGAGGCAGTGAGATGGGAGGGGTGAGGGAGGGGGGAGAAATAAGAGCAGGACAAGAAGATGGAAGCCGCGTCGCCAACCGTAGCATCCCTCAAGGATTATGAGGCCAATCCTGCGGCTAATTTGCGAGCTCTCGAATTCTCAAACCCCTCCGCCTATCTCGTGACTTCATCCAAACCGTTCTTCGGATCCCTACTAACTATTTTACCGTTGTTTCTTATCCTTAAAAGGAAGTCCTTTCCGTTCTTCATCCTATATTAATGATCATACATTCGTTGATCTCGTAATATCGGACAGATATCGATATTATTTGCAAGACCGGCGTTATATATTTATGAATTTTCGAGTATCTCAAAAATGTCACAAATCGTTATTCGAGCGTTATTAATCGCTCGACGTGTCCACATTTAATCACGACATGTTCGCGATTTAGATTACGTACAGTCGAAAGCTGCGTAAGAAATAAATATCGTCCCATTCGCATTCGTGACGTGTGTGTTTTAGTTTTCGTAGGAAAAGTTACGTTTCGAAATGCCGCCTGCGCCCGCGGCTACGAAATGAATAATTAATGGGCGCGACGTTCTCTCTTATGCTCTAGCTCGCCACGCACATTTGTTACAATCCAATTCAGCGGCGGAGAGCATTTTCGGTTCTTATCAATCGCATCCAACAATCTAACCATCCTGGCCAACATTATCTGCCGGCGAAACGTCCGGCAGTCGCATGGAAACAGAATAGTTAGGCATATCCTAGCTGAGGCTGATAGCAGAACCGCGCAGCTCTCTCTCTCTCTCTGCCTTTCCCGCTGTCTTTCTCACTTCCCCTCTTTCTACCTATAACTTCCTCTCTCTCTCTCTCTCTCTCTCTCTCTCTCCCTCCCTCTTTCTCTTTCTCTTGCGCAAGCTCTCCGTTATTATTCAGGAACTTTGCTGACAGCTCTCCGGATAGGCAGATAAGAACGTTCTCTGAATGCCAAAGCACACACAATGCTCCTTTGGAGCGACGTGTACCCACGTCTCGCGGATACTTTTCGTGTGCATGATCGTGTGAGAATGCACGGACCGAGTGTCTAGCGCGTGTTGCGTCGCGTCGCGCGCGTTCGGTGATCCTAAATTCTCCTCGATCTCCCGCAATTTGTCGGCTGTTCCAAGCTCGCTCGGCATCGCACGGCTCGCAAGCTTAATTCATTTCCGCCTGTCTCTTATTACACCGTAACGATTAGCGCGCGTACTTCTGCATCATATTTTCATGATCAGTAGAATTCTTGGCTGCTCGAGATAAGCCCTTCTATAAATTTATTTATTTCAGCGAAGTCGAGTTTTAATTATATTATTAAATTAATTAATAATATTGTTCCGGCAAATATACGCATTGCGTGCGAAATGACGCATGTCAATCATTATGAAGTTATAAATTTGTTTTTTTAATGTATTGTATTATGTTGTATTGCGCTACGGATTTTATTGCAAATTGAAATATGCTGATATTGCACAGACAGATTTTTTTTTCATAGCGGAAATTTTATTATTGTGTCGATGACAGCGGGAAGCCAATCTCAGCCAAACTGGCTATTTTTCATAACGATTTAGTGCGGATGGTGTGATCTAAATTGTCTGCGCGCGGTCTGACAAATTAAGATCAGATAGAGGGATGATCCTCCAGGCTGCTGACTTTTAGATTTTCATAAGAAGTTGCTCCATCCCCTCTGCTGCTATCTCACTGTTCCCTCTCTTGATTCTTCACACTCTTCGGCCCAGCAGCAATTTTCTTATCCGATCGACCAACTTGCTCTCTTTTCAGTTTCTTCGAATTGAAGATCTCTTCGTACGAAGAAATGAAGTTCCAAGAAATAATAATGATAATATATTAATCGACGGCTCTGATTTCACTAAGTTTTATGGTCGGTGAAATAATCAAAGAATATTTGTAGGACGCGTTTGTAGGAAGCAATATATTTCACAAATATCGCAAATGTAAAATACAGTTAATTTGAAATTTGTTAGAATACATTCTCTAAATTTTTGATATCTTAAAATTTAAATTTTTCGAGCGATAAATTAACAGCGATTTAATTAACTTTGATATTTTATCGAAACTACTTTGAACTGCTTCTCACAACTTGTTAAAACATTTTGGCAATACTCGAAAAGAAAGTAATGCAACATTGTAACTAATTTGTTCTTGTTATTTCTTTCAATCGACTGTCAATGATGTAACATAATAAAATTACTCACCCTTGTGAGATGCGTTTTGGTCGATGACGCAGTAGAATCTGCACAACGTTCGCGGAATCAGCGCTCGAAACAAGTTCCATAAATCCTTGTCTGTTTCGCCGCTGCTCTCGGAGAGCTCAGTTCAAAAGGCGGAGCCCGATAACGATAACGAGAGGGATAACGGTAGGCAGGTACCTGTATAGCGCGGGGATAAGAAGAGACTGCTGCGGCAAAGTCTAGATTCGATGTTTTGCGAATGAGCGCCGACCCGGGATGGATCCTTGTAAGACGTTTTAATTGGACAAATCCGCCTATCCTCATTAAATCCGGAACGACCCCGAAGCGGGGCCCACCAGGACAACGGGTCCTGTGTGCGTGGATGACAGCGATATCCCCACGGCATCATCTTTGCACATTGCTACGTACTTAAACACGAAAGTCTCTTCTATTTCACGACGCTCGTCTCGGGAATCCGTATCGCTGCGAGGATCCGATCCTTATTCGTCCTTGCTTTGCGTACTAGCAGAACGCTCACGTTATACGGCGCTTATTGAAATGCGCTTTTCAAAAGATGCGATAAAATTTGATATGCGTTTCTTTGACGTAAAATAATATCCGACGAAGATATTTTCAATAAAAATATATGTGTAATAAAATATTTAATATTTTTCCGGGACAGAAATTCGATAGGTACGCTTTATTGCATGTTAATAGTGGGCTTCCGCTTTATTCATTATCAGGTATCTTCGTTGTATCTCGTTACGTCCGCAGTCTTACTGTTTTGAAACTCTCGCGAGCGATGCGAACTCGAGTAGTGCCGCAGATAGGTGGCGCGTCGCTTTCAGAGAAAGACTCATTGACTATTGTGACGTTTGAGTTAGGGTTGACTCGATGACAGCTCGGCTGTCTTATCTTAGCTGCGAGATTTCGGTCGGGGCGGTTGCTTTGTGCATTGCTAGACTTGGAGACAGCGTTCGTTGTGCGCGCTTGTATGCACCATCGTCCGTTTAGGCGTACGTGTATTACGAGCTCTACGAAACTCTCTCGCGAGGCACCATTCGGCGATTTATTGTGCTCGCCCCTTACAAGACGAACGCGCGGGTGGATACGATATCGCGCCGCTCGTAAAAGCTCTTACCTTTCGCTCTTCTTGCGATTCTTTGAATAATAAATTTCTCGTACGATGTTTCTCCAACAATCGATTGATAAAATGAAATTATTTTGCAAATTTGATAGAGAACTTATGACAATTCTGACAAGTCGCTGCGTGCAGGAATTAAAAAAATTTTTCAATCTCTATTAAATATCAGTTGTTGGCGCCGGGAAAAGAGATACTCAATGCTTGTGACGTATATTTTTTATTCGACATCATCTCGTATTTACACTCATGAAAGTCCATAATAATTATATTAATTGTTACGTGGTAATTACAATGAATGTGCGGCCATTAAGTGTTGAAGCCGCAGCTCAACGATAGTAAGGAGTAACAGGTCGGTTAACGATTTTCCTTTATTTCTGCGCGCACGTTGTCCCCTTGCGCCCTCTGTCTCTCGATATTATTTAAAGAAATTAGCTAGTCTGCGTGATATGGATGCTGCTGCGGCGTCTCGCCCTCGAACAGCGCCATCTTCAGCCGCTTGTTCTTGGCCCTGCGATTCTTGAACCAGAATTGCACGTTCTTCGGCTCCAGACGCGGAAACTTCTGGCGATAGGGCATCTTGTTCAGCTCTTCCGTGTACGACAGAATCAGCTATGGACCGATCGTAAAATCTCTTTCAGAAAACTTCTCGCACAATGGAAAAAATTAAGTCGAACGGCAACGCGCCGATATATTTAAACGATGGCAGGGAATCATTTTTATTTAAAAGAGAATTTCAAGTCGCAACATTTGTAGAATTCACTTCTGAGTAATTATTTTTCCATCAAATCATCCGTCTTTGTATAATCTAGCGTTTTATAACCGCGAAGAACCATGTCTGCGAGAGGTGTGCTATTAATTGCCGGAAATTTCGCGTTAAAGGCGAGACAAATTAGCGCGATAACAACAGTACAGGCGGATTTGTACGTACCGCGTGACTCGGATGAGTGCTGCGCTTGAACCAATACTCCAGTCTCGGCACTTCCGTCACCGGATCGATGAACGTCCGGTTCCTCTTCCTCCGCTCGTCGGCCAGCATGTTGGTGGGACAGCCGGTCGGCCCGCGCGGTGGCAAATAGTGCGACATGTACATTATACCGTGGCCGAACATCGGACTGGGCACCAGGGAGAATCCCGGCGGGATCGGGCCCGTGTGTCGCGTCTCGTCGTCTTCGGAACCGGAAGACACTCTCGCCTCCTCCTGTTTCACCGAGGGGGTCGACGCCGGCGGCTGCTGCTGCTGGTCCTCGGGTCGAGTCGTCAAGGACAGAGGACCGACAGGCGAGCTGCTCGGTGGACAGGGTGACTCTGATGTTAACTAAAATCGACAATCAAGAATCTCAACTCTTTGAGATCCTACGCTGATGTAGAATTTACTCGAATTTTATCTTACAATAACTTTTCGCACGCAGCATATATTTCAAAAAATCGTCCGCTTTGATTCTTCGTTGAAGGTGTCGTTAAACGGTCGTTTGTCGGCAATAATAATTTATCAAGTTATTCGCCGAAAATAATCTCATAAATTATTTATCGAAAGTGATCTGAGGCAAACCATTTCTCTCTCGTTTCTGACAGTGAATATTTAATGTTCTTATATTTAGAGCTTAAATAAAGTTTTATTTCCGCGACTGCACGTACTTGCTGCCTGGTGTCTTCTTCTTCGTCCGTGCAATCCTCGCTGACGATACTGGCGCCGCGCGGACTCAGTCCAGGCGGACTGCAGCCGTTCATGCTGGCTCTCTTCTGCGCCGCCCTGGCGTTCTTGAACCAGTAGACGACGTTGTTCGCGTCCAGCGGCTTCCTGCCGCGACGCGACTCCAGGGAGTTCAATTCCGCGACGTAGTGCTGTATCTGTTCGCGCGACGGATGCTGATTCTCGGCGAACCAGCGCTGCAGACGCGGCAGCTCGAGCTCCGAATCGAAGCTGGTCCTCATCCTGGTCTTGTGCGAATACTGGAGCAGCGCCGGATGCGGTGGGCCGATCGGACCGCCGCCGGGCGCGATCACGCCGCCGCTGTCGGGCTGCGGACTCTGCGTGTGGTGATGATGATTAGAAGACGGCGCCATCGGGTTTATGCCGAGACCTATTTGTTGCTGCTGCAACCACGTCTCGAAGTTCCGCTTTGTTTCTTCCGATAGATCGTTGCCGCCTCTGCAGAGGGACAGCAGGGTCATCTGCAAGAAGAGTAACGTGCTCGTTTCTGAAAATTTGACTCGCTGCCAATTAACGAAGAATGCATCCTGAAGAAAGATATAAAATTGCCAGATGCGTCATAAAACGCTTTCGTTTTGTTTTCCGACGGCTTTAAAGCCTTTTTATATAATGGAGAATATCTGTAATTTACTGGCCTATAAAGAATAGTTAGATTAATAGCTAGATAAGCCAGGTGATGTCTACTAGATTAATTACCTTATTTTTTTATTACGGACTAATTAAGAGATTGCCAAGCGGAGTCAAGCGTAATGTGATTCTTCATATTATCTTTTACATTATCTCCAAGATAAGGCGAGAGGGCTATAAATCAAAGCAAAAGTCTCGGAATGGATGCGTTGCGTAAAATTTGGATTTTCCCAACAATCGATTCCTCTGTTGACGCGTTTCGCGAGGCGTCGTCGTTAGCGCCGTTCTCGTCGCCGTCGTCGCGGCATTAAGATTATGGAAAAGTTTTGCGCCTCAGGAAGCGGGGCCTTATCTGGTCGATGATTTATACGGACAAATATATCTCCGGGCTGGAAGTGAGATCAGGCACTCGACGCCACTTTAATAACGCGGTAATCCGTCGCGTATCCGTGGCACCTTGGTAGCGTCTGACACCACCGAGACGACAATTATCCGACCGCCGCTGTCTTCCCGCGCGGGACGCCTCCTCGAATTCTCATCCGCCACGAGTTTTACAACACCGCACTTAATCACTCCGGGTAGTCAGGCGAGGCGCGAGTCTTGACAGGCGCTCTCGAGATTTCAGAAATCGTTCGGCAAACAGTGGTATGCCGTCGAAAACGGGACGGCCGGCTTATCTGACGACGTTACGCCGCGATTCGAGCCTGATTTACACGTATTTATTATTCAAGAGTGATTGCGCACGGAGCAATCGGCTGATCCATAGAGCAGTGGTAAATCAATCGCGATCACGGGACCCTGATCAAACAATCCGCACGATCGCAATATTTCGTGAAACGAGCAACGCGTGTATTGAGCGCCGTTGTCAGCAGCGTTGCAATTTTCTTCTATTACGATCTCGCTCTTAAATATTCATAAGTTAAAATCTTAAAATTTTATATTAGGAACTAATATTCCCTTTATATATATTTTAATTTAATTTCACTCTGCACAGTGATATCATTGCTTGCTTTTTTGTCGCAATGCATTAAAATGGGAATTATGAAGTTTAATAAAATAGAATTGAGCGTTTAATTTCACAAATGCTAATTTGATAATAAAATTTATAGTAATATATTTTTAATCTTTATTATACCGATTTTATTTGTCAAATACATCAATGCCACAAACGATGAATCGTTATTAAAATAAATTTAATCTTTTCACTTTCTTTACAATACATATTTATGTAAAACCGTAAACCAGATTTGGGGACATATGCAGGCAAATTTGTATAAAAATGTATAATAGATAAATCAAATGCCGCTGTATTGCTATAAATAAGATTAAATTTTAATCCTGATATATCAGAGGGCGACGTCTGTTACATCACTATTCTACATTTCAAGTTAAATAGAATCCAAAATAGATTTCGCTGTTTTTATTGTCTGAAACTGTGCCGGCGTTGATGATTTATATATGCCAATCCCAATTAATGCGAATTTCACGCCTGAGCCTCTTGAAAAGTATTTATTACCATCCCGAAACTTTCCATTATTCCGAAAGAAATACGAGCGCTGTACTTTTCAAAAAATCGTGTGTACTTAAATTTGTATGCTTAAGTTTCTAATTTTGATATATCCCGATGTACCCGAATGTCACAAATTGTGCACTTTATCTGCATAGCGCATACCAGAAATAACTGGTTGCAATCTTGTGACGAAGATAGTTGCATTAAGATAAGCAAATGCGAAACGCGAAAAATAGTCAAATTTGTTTGTCATTTATGATTTCTGACATCACTTTAACAGATGTTTGTTTACGAAACTTTATTAAAACTAATTTAATGCTGCACGTTCGAGATTGACAAATTTCTCTTTCTCTATTTCATTATTTACTTTACAAAAACTTTTGCAAATCGTTTCTGACCGACGGAGAATTTTTGCGCGAAAGTATAAAAATCAAATTCGTTCAGAATCCTCGAGAGACGCGTTCGCCGAAGAGTATCGTACGAGTTACGAGGGCGGAAGGGGGGAGGGAGAGATCACTCGGCGGTACGTCTTCGTGCATCATCGTCAGATTAGACGAAATCTACGCGAGAGACGTCGGTTCGCCATCACAGCGGTTCGCCATTAGCCGTCGGGCTACGAAACTCAAGCAGGAAACGTTTGCCGGGGAAAATTGGTAATCATAGACCACCGTGAGCGGCATTAAAGTTCGGGGCTGGGCGGGTGGCGGGATCTTCAAAGAGAGTGCACTTAGATAATGCCGGCCCGGAGGAGGTAGCAGGGGCACCTCTGCCTCCCCCGGTGCCGATATCGAGGGGGCTTTTGATGAAGGCTGCGAATTTCGTTGAGTAAAGGGTAATCCTATCATACGCTACGAGATCCTCCGCTGTCGGAAGGGCACGCTTGCGCGGCCCGAAAAATCGCTCACCTATTTCAATCTTCGAGGCACGGAATCGGGAGCGCCGCAGCCGGGATAAACCCCTCGAAAAGTCACTGCGAAAAAATTTCGCAGCTAGCTCGTATAATCGAGATTACGTTCTTCCGTTTCGTCGCAGAAAATTCGCGAGAGCCGCTGGTTACCACGGCGGTTAACAAACTTTTGCCGAATCATCTTTGCGTCTAGTCGTCAACGAAATGTCGACGTTGATGGAAGCTCTCTTTGTTAAATAGTAACTGTTGCTTTTTTTTTTTTTTATCAAGTTCCTGAGTGACAAAGATAATGACGGCGATGAGAAGCGATGAAGATATAGTTTTATCTCATCGCTGTTTTTAAGAGAGAGAAATAATACGTGCCAACGGCAAAGTGATAAAATATCGCGGACTTCATTAATGTTTTAGTAACATTAGTGATATTTGAATAATAAATACGTGAATGTACATAAAATTATCTGGAAAACTTGAAGGAGTATTAAGAAAATCCTTCATTATTCGCGGGAAAACGCTTTGATTTGGGAACGAGTGCTATCAGAAATGCGGTGACTTCTCGACTGGTGGCTCGGAAGCAAGAAAGCATTTATTCAAGGTGAGGATCAGCGAGCCGCGAGCAAGAATCTACCAAAGATTACCACTTGCCGTTCTTGTGGGAGGCACAAGGGTGCCGAGAGCCGGAGGACTTCTTAATGAGATTAAGTGCCCCGACGACAAACACTCTCTGGCTAGATTTACATTTTATACATTTTTAAGCGGTTGTCTTACTACGAATATTCCTCGTTCCGATCTCGCCTTGAACGGCCCTTAAATTCTCTGGGCACGCCATTATTTAACCTCGTCCGCCGGATAAACGCGCTTTTATACACATCTTATGTATACATACTTTTTCCTCACGTATATATATTTATATCTCTGCGTGTATCTAGCGTGTTTTCATTTTTTACAAAATTGAAAAGAAAGTATTTCATAAATTCAACGTGGAGAGGGTTCTTTTTTTCCGAATCGATGCATGTTGACGCCGAAGTGTGTCAAAATCCGAAAATTCGAAACATACCTCGTCCAAGGGACATCCGGCGGAGACGAGAAGTGTGTGGCTGTGCAACAGCAGCAGCCTCAGCAATTTGTTTCTAACTTCAGCAGCCGGACTGGGAGGCGGCGGTCTGGATCTGTACACCTGAATTTTCAGAGTCGCCACTGATGTTAGTTCAGCCAAGATATCCCCTACTGTTAATAGTGGCCCGTCAGCGACCTTTTCCATCGGCAAGGGCTTCCAGTTTCGGATAACGATGCTCCCTCGGGCGCTCGGTATGAGATCGCTGGAGTATCCGAGGCGAATGAGAGCTTCGCCCACCAAATCCTGTCGACAAAAGTTTTAATATTTTCTGCACGCGATACGTTATATCTTTACAATAACTCGATGATAAATATTTGTTTCCCAAACTTTTCGAGGAAGAAAGTCTGCATCGCGTTTTTTGAAAAAGTTTCAATTTTTTCAAAATTTAATCCGAAAGTTTGCGATTATTATTTATATACTTTCAATCTTTGATGTTTTGTTGGCACTCGGATCGCAAATTACTTGAAGAATAATTTGTCACTTTTATCGTAAAAGTTCAATTTCTTGAAAGAACAGGACATTTGTACTGTGCATTTTTGGGATAAATTTCGGGGAATGTATAGAGATGTAGTTATTCGAAGAGAAAGTAATTTTCTTACCTGAAAGGGCATCGCTACTGGAATGATAACGTAAGAGTCCGTTTCCACCTGAGGACTTCGCCATTTTTCACGGCTGTTGCTCACATGACTTTCCACGATATTGTGAATCGTCTCCACCACACAATGCACCGGTAGATTTTTCGCTGCAACAGACAAAGGAATTTATTAAGCAACACGCTCTTACAGTTCCCTTATTACAAATAACAATGGAGTGACGAATTTACTACGAGCAATTGGCCAACAATTGCATCATTTCGGCAACGTGAATCGCATGTAATGCAAATTTTGGATATTTTAAGATTTCCGTCGAAATCTTAATTAAATAAGACGTATGATTTTTCACACACTTGTCGATTTTGATTTTCTTCATAATTCTGCACACTCTTCGATACGAACTACTTAAACTATTAAGTTAACTCTAAGCTGTTAGGTGTTTAACATATTTTACGATCTCTTTAGAATTCGGAACCAATTAATACAATTCAAAATCCGTGTAAACCGAATATTTTCGCGAGGGCTCAGTCCAGGCGGAGTGCCTGAAATCATCTCGCGGCTTTGACTGAAGCACTATTTCTGTACATCCGGCTGACAATAGGTATAGTCTTCGGCGTTTCGGCATCCAAATTCGAGGGGGCAGGATGATTCGCGGAGCGCGCACTGAAGATCGCTGGAGGAGGAGAAACGGAGCGAGATAGAGCGCGACGCGCGAGCGGAAGAGAGAGAGAGAAGTTTAACTCCAGCGCTAAGCATATGCAGATCCACTCGTCTATCCCGAGACAATGGGACCTGTGCGATGGCACAATAGCTGCGATCCTTGTGTAACCCTGACTTAAGTCCGGGAGTCTATCCCACTCCAGGTCATAATCCCAGACTTCTGCGAAACCGAGGAAATGGAGTGCGAGAAGGAAGAGAGAGAGAGAGAGAGAGAGAGAGAGAGAGAGAGAGAGAGAGAGAGAGAGAGAGAGAGAGAGAGAGAGAGAGAGAGAGAGAGAGAGAGAGAGAGAGAGAGAGAGAGAGAGAGAGAGAGAGAGAAAGGGAGAGATGGTGAAAGAAAGACTAGTAGAGGGGAGAGAGAAGGGTAGAATTTCATCCGCACAATTCCATCGGCTATATCGTGCTATACTTATCCGTTAAAGGGCACCGCCGAATTCTCGATGATTGCTGAATGTTCTTCTATTTACCGATAAGCTCGTCTTCCGCTCTGCTCGAAGTACATATAGTATTTGCGAAACGTGAATCCGTCACGCGTGTGTCCACTCGAATTTTGAATTAAAAATTGGCCGCAGGGACCCTAAAGTGGTCTATTTTACCTATTTTTTCTAAATACACTTAACTGTTTTTTGGCTGTGTAGAATGAAAAGTCCTTTTATGTAA